TTTTTAGTAGAGACGGGGTTTCACTGTGTTAGCCAGGATGGTCTTGATCTCCTGACCTTGTGATCCGCCTGCCTTGGCCTCCCAAAGTGCTGGCATTACAGGCGTGAGCCACTGTGCCTGGCCCAGATTTCATATTTTTAAACAGTTAAAAGAAAAATAAACAGATTCTTTAATGCATGAAAATTACATAGAATCTAAATTTCTGCACACAGCCATGCCTACTGGTCTGTCTGGCCCTTTACAGAAAAAGCCTGCCGGCCCCTGGTGTAGGGGATCAAATGGTGCACCCGAAAGTCTCTGTAAGAGGCAGCAAGGGTCGCCGGGCGCGGTGGCTCACTCCTATAATGCCAGCACTTTGGGAGGCTGAGGTGGGCGGATCACAAGATCAGGAGATCGAGACCATCTTGGCTAACACGGTGAAACCCTGTCTCTACAAAAATACAAAAATTAGCCGGGCGTGGTGACGGGCGCCTGTAGTCCCAGCTACTCAGGCGGCTGAGGCAGGAGAATGGTGTAAACCCAGGAGGTGGAGCTTGCAGTGAGCCGAGATTGCACCACTACACTTCAGCCTGGGCGACAGAGTGAAACTCCGTCTCAAAAAAAAAAAAAAAAAAAAAAAAAGAGGCAGCAAGGGTCAGGACCACTCTTGGCATGGGAACTTTGGAGAAAGAAAACAGTGGGGTGGCAGGAATTGATTGTGACTTAGAGAGAGAAGACATAGGATCCTTGAACAAGGGTTCAAATCCTGACTCTGCCAATGTGTGGCCACAGAGGAGGGACTTCCTGGGCCTCATTCATCTTCTAGGGGAGTGGAACTCCCAACTGGACTCCCGTCCTGAAGAGGGAGTGAGGTCAGCGCCTGGTACAGTCAGGACTTGGTGACCCGGAGCTGGGGCCGACGTCTGTATCATCATCAGTTGGCTCAGTACTTGCAGGAGAAGCAAGGGATGAAGATTTAATTTACAGATGATCTTAAACCAAAAGAATGTCCTCCAATGTTATGCTTTCTTGTGTATACTTTTGGTAAACACTGCAGAGTCTGCTCAAGCTTTCCTGTGTTAAAAATACCGACAATTCAAGGGAATGAGATGCAAGCACATCTTATGGGAAACTTCCAGAACAGTCACAGAGAACCGTGAGCAGCAGGATGGAGGTACTGATCTTTGTTATGGTGGTGGTTGTTGTTTTGAGGCACTCTCGCTCTTGCTCTGTCACCCAGGCTGGAGTGCAGTGGCATGATCTTGGCTCATGGCAATCTCCGTCTCCTAGGGTCAAGTGATTCTCCTGCTTCAGCCTCCAGAGTAGCTGGGATTACAGGTGTGTGCCATCATACCCGGCTAACTTTTGTGTATTTAGCAGAGACAGGGTTTTGCCGTGTTGGCCAGGCTGGTCTTGAACTCTTGACCTCAGGTGATACACCTGCCTAGGCCTCCCAAAGTGCTGGGATTATAGGTGTGAGCCACTGTGCCCGGTGAGGTGCTGATCTTATGTTATACTTGACACCAGGTAAATTGACCATTTCTGAGCAACTACAATTTTAATTGACCAAATATATCATTTTATGCCAGATCAGTTTGTATAATAAAATTATTATATTAATATTTTGCCAACTTCTACTCATCATTTAACACTCATCTCCGAAATCATCACCTCCAGGAAACTTCCTACTCCAGCCAGCTTTGTCGTCACTACCACTGCCAACCCCTGACCCCCAAGACACATGCTGGTTAGATGCACTCCCTCTCTCCTTCCTTCCAGTGGCACTGGAGACCAGAGCAGCTCCATGAACAGGCTCTGGCATCAGGCTGCCTTGGATTTGAATGCAGTTCTAATGCCTCCTAGCTGTGTGACCATGGACAAGTGACTTAACCTCTCTGAGCCTCACTTTACTCATCTGTGAAGTGACAAAGATAAAACCTATTTTGCAGCCTGGGTGTGGTGGCTGAAGTCTGTCACCCCAGCACTTTGGGAGGTCGAGGCAGGCAGATCATGAGGTCAGGAGTTCGAGACCAGCCTGGCCAACGTGATGAAACCCCTGTTTACTAAAAATACAAAAATTAGCTGGGCATGGTGGCGGGTGCCTGCAGTCCCAGCTACTCGGGAGGCTGAGGCAGAGGAATCGCTTGAACCCAGGAGGCGGAGGTTGCAGTGAGCCGAGATCGCACCACTGCACTCCAGCCTGGATGACAGAGCAAGACTCCATCTCAAAAAACAACAACAACAACAACAAAAAACCCAAACCCTACTTTGAAGATTTGTCCAGACATTAGATTAGATCATATGGGCAAAATGCCTGCCACACGGTCGGCTGTGGATAAACGGCAGTTCCTATAACGAAGTGCTGCACAGTCACTTTCTACCTGCCTGTCCATTTCCCCTGAGGACTGTGATACCTTGAAGGGGAGACTATGTTATTTATGAGAACAAGGCAGACTCCCAACAAACGTTGCCGAATGAAAGACTGGGTGGATGCAGGGATGGATGGGTAGGTAAGTGGACGAATGGATGGACAGACAGATGGAGGGACTGCCACAAAGAACACCAGGGCCTTCAAGTTCTCGGCCACCTGAAGGTAGTCTAAGATCCTGCCCCTGAGTCTGCAGGGACTGTTCTCAGGCCTCTTCTGTCCTTGCCCACAGGGCAGGTTGCGGGTGTGTGAGGTGCTCAACCCCGGGCCAGATCTGAATGCCACGACCTGCTGCTGAGCCTCCCCAGGGACCAGCACTCCAGAACTCTAAATGCTGTAGGAGTCAGAGAGGGGGAAGAAATGGTCCCTCCGTCCACCAGGTGGCTCAGACTGAACACCTGAGGGCCACGCTCGGTCTCCGCCTTCCTTGCCCCACAGCCCAAGCGTGTCCCCTCCAACCCACCACTCCTCTCGGCCCAGAACTTACCTTCCACAAAACCAGTGCAGCTGGTCACAGGACCCACGTCTGCCCGTGCCCACGTGTCGTCCACACAGCAGCAGGGAGGACTCTGAAAAACACGGCCCAGATCTCGTCACTCCTGTCTATGACTCTCCAAAGGTAATGTGGCTGAAGACATATTCACTATAAATCCAGGCTCCCTGTGCGGCCGGCGGGGCCCCGCCGGGGTTGCCACTCCTCTGTCCTCTTCCCCCTACAGGCTCACGTGGCCTCTTTCCTGTTGTCCTGGTATATCAGGCCCTTATACCCACCTGAGGGCCTTTACAAAAGGGTTTCTCTGCCAGAATTACTCTTTTCCCATATTTCCCCACAGGCCTTGGCTCGGAAGGCTGACATCCCTCCTCCCAAAGGCCCCCCTAAACACCCAATCTATTCAGAAGGCCTCAACTCCAGCTGCTCATTACAATCAACATAGGCCATGCCCAGGCCCCCTGCCCCAACCAAGTCATCAGGATCTCTAGGGGTAGGGCTGGGCTCCCCAGGAGACTCAAAGGAGCAGCCCGGGTTGACATCTGGGTTGTTACATGGCACCCTCACTGCAGTAGCCTATTTGTTCACTAGTGTGTCTGCATCCGCCACTAGAATATGGGCTCCTCAAGGGGAGGGGCTGCCCCTGTCCCACTCACCCTGTGTCCCGGAGCCCAGAACAGTGCCTTGTGTATAAGAAGCTCTCAGTGTGTGTTTTTAGGAAGCAGGAGAAAAAAGGGAGGTCTACAGAGATCGGGAAAGATTTCTTAGACCAGAATTGATCCTGCAGCTGGAGGTTTCTGATCCTTAGAATGATATCGCTGGATTGGGGTAGAGATGGGTTGCTTCCCCCTAAGATAGGAATTTTTTTTTTTTTAGATGGAGTCTCGGTCTGTCGCCCAGGCTGGAGTGCAGTGGCGCCATCTTGGCTCACTGCAAGCTCCGCCTCCCGGGTTCATGCCATTCTCCTGCCTCAGCCTCCCGAGTAGCTGGGACTACAGGCGCCCGCCACCACGCCTGGTTAATTTTTTGTATTTTTAGTAGACGGGGTTTCACTGTGTTAGCCAGGATGGTCTCAATCTCCTGACCTCGTGATCCAGCCTCGGCCTCCCAAAGTGCTGGGATTACAGGCGTGAGCCACTGCACCCAGCCAGGATTTTTAAATATATATGTATTTGTTGAGACAGGACCTCACTCTGCTCTGTTGCCAAGGCTGGAGTGCAATGGTGTAAACACAGCTCACTGCAGCCTAAACCTCCTGGGCTTAAGTGATCCTCCTGCCTCAGCCTCCCATGGAGTTGGGACCACAGGTACACTCCACCATGCCTGGCTGATTATTTTGTGGAAATGGGGTCTCACTTTATTGCCCAGACTTGTCTCAAATGCCCGGGGTCAAGCAAGTATTTTAATGTCCTTTGGGTCAGAAAAGCTGACGGAAGCTGTGAACTCTCCCTAGAAAGATGCACACAGACGGGCAGGCGCACGCTTCCTTCCAATTTCAGGAGGTCACAGACCCTGGAAAGCCCACCTGAGGCCAAGGTTTTCTCCGCCCCCATCTCCTAAATGCCCTAGAGTGGTGGTCCCCAGCCTTGGCTGCACACAGGAATTGCCCCGGGAGTTACTGATGCCCAGCCCCCACTGCCAGAGACCCTGATGAGTTGTTCTGGGCTGCAGCCTGGGGATCAGGGTTTCTTCAGTTCTCCAGGGGGTTCCAGTATATTGGGACCCACTGCCGTGGCTCCATTCCTTACACAGGCCAGCCCCTGTGCTCCTCAGTGGGGTGCAGGCAGGCCTGGGGTTTCTGGTGCAGCAGCGCCTGGCCAGAGAGAATCTGCCTGGCACTCTGGCATCTGAAAAACAGTGTCACATGAAGCTCCCTGCACCATCTTCCAACCTGGGCTGCCTCAAGGCTCCTTCCACTTCAGTCTGTTACCCCAGAGCAATATTACTGTGCATGAGAAGACCTTTGAGATCACTGCACTTTTCAGAGGAGCCAGAGAGAGCAAGAGATGGCAGGTGGCACAGCAAGCTTGAGCGAAGCATGAAGTAGAGAACTGAAGATTCCCAGTCCAGAGCTCCTTTCTCTACCTGCGGCCCTGTCCCTGCACACTGGGGCTCCCACATGGGAGGGATAAGAAACACTGGACTCAGAATCACAGAGATGGCCCTCGGCTCCACCCCTGGCTCTGCCGGGTATCTGCCACATGACCTTGGGAAACACTGCAGAGCTGCTCCCTTATCCACAGATGGGGATGCCAACCTAGCCCACCCACTGCAGGCGTGAAGGTGAATCACCATCAGGCTAGTGCATAGTAGGGCGCAATCTATGCTGGTGCCTGGCCCTCTCCTCCCACTCTCCCTGCCTGAAGATGCCACATCTGCCACACCTTGCCAGCTGTGTAGCCTTGGGTGATCACCTTACCACTGTGTCTCAGCTTTCCCACCTGTAAAATGAACTTAATAATGGGTTGTGGTCAGGCTTAAAGAGTTTGTATCTATAAAGTGCCTGGCACCCAGTAAGTGTCAGATAAATGTTACCAACTATTGATGATGATGATCTGGAAAAGTTGTTGTTTTCCTGACCAACAGTCTGAAGCCCTCTGAGGCCTGATCTAGTCTCTAGCCATGTGCCCACCCTGGAGAGGCTATGTGCCGGAAGATGACCACTGCTGCTCCTGGGTGAGGGGCTGGCAGACAAGCAGGACCAGGCTGGGCCACCTAAGGAAGGAGGAGCCTCTGCCCCTAGCCTCCAGGCTGTGCCACTGGGAACTGCCTGAGACCCAGAGGTCCAGCCAGTTTGGTGAGTTGGGCATCCGATCCCGTGGGAGCTCAGTCTGCCCAGTCGGGCAGAAAGGGGAGTGAGAGTGAGAAAGCCTGGCTGGGCTATTGTGCCCTGGACGCCAGCCCATCCACAGGCACTCCACCTGCAAGCTGGTTCTTGGCCACCAGCTCTCTGGTCCTCTGGACTTTGTCCTGATCGCCCATGGGAAGAGACTGGGCACAGACGGCTGTGTTTGTTTTCATGTTTGACAGGTGATGTGTTTCCTGAAACCCCCGCTGACACCAGTGCCTGGCTTTTTGACCTCTCACTATCTTATTTTTCAATCTCTGGTCTTACTCTTATTGTTGATATTAACCCCCACCCACCAGAAAAAAAAAATAGCTGCTACTCTGGGCAACAGGAGAAGAGTAAGCATAAGCAGGATGAGGGCCTCAGGTTTCCTTTAAGACCTAGGGTTCAGCCCAGCCACAGTGGCTCATACCTATAATCCCAGCATTTTGGGAGGCCGAGGTGGGCAGATCACCTAAGGTCAGGAGTTCAAGACCAGCCTGACCAACATGGTGAAACTCCCTCTCTACTAAAAATACAAAAAATTAGCTGGGCATGGTGGCGGGTGCCTGTAATCTCAGCTACTCAGGAGGCTGAGGCAGGAGAACTGTTTGAACCCAGGAGGCAGAGGTTGCAGTGAGCTGAGATCGTGCCACTGCACTGCAGCCTAGGCAGCGAGAGAAAACTCTGTATCAAAACAAAACAAAACAAAAAAACAAAAACAAAAACAAAAAAATCCTAGGCTTCAATCCCAGCTCTGCTTCCTCCTAGGTGTGTGAGCTTGAGCAAGCGAGTTATTAAACCCTTCTGAGTCCCAACATTCCCACCTCTAACCCCAAGATGCTGGTGGGATCCCCATCTCATGGGATTGTTGGAGGAGTAGGAAATGACACGGAAGGAGCTTTGCGGTCACCATCAGCTCCTCACCACACAGTGAGGAGATCCTGCCACTACTACCACCACCAAGGTTGGAAGAAACACATCCAAATCAGACCTTCCCAGGAATCACAGGATTTCAGAGCCCAAAGAGCCTCCCTGTTTGTCTTAGAGATTAAGGAAGGGACCTGTCACAGGATCCCATGAACCAGTGAGGCAGGCTCCCTCTCTCCTGAGAGAGCTGGGATTGACAGCTGATATTTGGGGAAAGGAGGCCGGGGTACAAGAGCCACACAGGCCAGCAGGCATCCCTGTATATTATGCCATTATCCACCGCATCCATGCAATCTCCATAACACCCTCACCTGCTGCCCAAATGAACAAGGTAAATGGCGCAGCCCACGGTCCCACCCTTCCATACCTCTGCTGCCTGCTGCCTGATCCCCCAACCCTACCCCAGATCCCTGAGGCCTGACTCTCAGCTTCCTTTCAGGAAGGAAAAGAGCAGCTCCACCAATCCTGACCAGGACATTCCTTCAGTTTGGCTGATGAGGCTGACAGATGTGGCCCTTCTCAGGAGGTTATGCTTTGAAACCCTAGCAATGAGACTGGAGGGACTTTAGGTAAACAAGGGGGCCACTCTGACAGGAGAGTGCAGAGTGGGAACCAGCAGATACCTTGAGCCCACCAGCATTCCTGCCTGGACCCCACGCAGCCAAAGAATCAAGCTGAGGCTGAGCCATAGCCTCTGACCTCTTGCTTTCCACAGCCCCCTTGCTTGACTGTTTTTGGCTTCTTAGCCAGCTGCTTGGGCCCCAGACAGCCCCTACTCTCTCCCAATGCTAGGTGCCAAGATTCATGCAGTCAGATTCACAGTGCCAGAATGGCCTTTGACATCACTAGCTCAGCCCACACTCCTCAGATGAAGAGACTGATGCCCAGAGAAGAAAACGAACCCCTACCCCCAACCCTTCTGGGGAATGCGCATGTTCAGTGTGTATGTTGGGGAATAGGGAGGGGACTGTGTAGGGCAGTCAGTGTGTCCCAGCCTGTTTGGCATCGTGATACACATTGAGAAGTATACCTATTTGTTCAGCTCACTGGGACGGACAGATAGAACTACATCTGGCTTGAGGTTACTAGCCTAGGGCTCTGTTCTCAAGGGCTCCAGAGATAACCATCTCGACAGCTCATTGATCGGAAAGCTCTAACCTAAAGGGATATTTAGGAGCTAAAGAGAGCCTGCAAGAAGCCTCAGATTCCAGAGGACCTGACAACAGGATTCCCAGGTGGGCTCTCAGGGGCCAGCCACCTTTTGAGGCCCTCTCTCCAGTGCCACAACTGGGGGCAGTTAAATAATGGGCCCTGAGAGAGAC